AGGGGCTGTCCTGGCTGTCTGGTGTCTGACGCTGGGCTGCTTGGGGCGGGGCGGTGGCCAGAGGAGGTGGTTGGCCATGGGCTCTGGACCAGTGGTTTGCATGTGGACCATGTGCTCCCAGGGGAGTCACCTGCTTTCTCTAGGAATTGGCTGGTCTTGAGAGAGGCCGTCTCTGCAGGGTCAGCGAGGCCCCAGATGTCAAAGCATCAGAAACATATGGTTGCTACGCTGGAGCCTGCGGCCAGGGCTGGTTTGGGAGTTGGGGCTCCGTGCCACCGGAGTCCCGGGCCAGGATGAGCACAGGATGACTCTGGGCCCCTGTTTCTCCTGGTGCCCTGCTCAGCAGGTCCCCCTGACTCTGTATGAAAGGTGTCCTGAATCTGCCCGCCTCTGTCTGTCACCGAGGCTCCTGCCCCAGATCAGGCCAGCATCCTCCCTCACCTGGACAACTGCAGCAGCCTCCCCATTGGCCTCCTGCCTCCAATCTTGTCCTCTCTGGTCTATTCTCCCCACAGCAGCCAGAGGGATCCTGGTACAATGTAAATCAGATTATGTTTTCCCTTGCTCAAAACCTGCCAGTGGTTCAGAATAAAATCCAATTTTTTTTGCTGTGCCTGACAAGGTATGTGGATCCTAAAAAGCCTCTCCTCTCCCATTTTCCTGCTCACCCTCCATGCCCTGGCCACGTGGAACTTCTTGCTGCTCCTTGAATGCACCATCTCCTTCCTACCCCAGGGCCTTTGCACTCACTGTTTGCTCTACCTATAAAGTTCTTCCTCAGATTTTCACAGGGCTCACTTGTCAGCTGTCACATTTTTAGAGAGGTCTCCTCTGATTACCTTATCTAAAATGGTCCTGTTGCTCTCCATCATTTTTCCCGGCTTAATTTGTCCTCTTAGAGCTTATTATTCACTGACGTTATATTTTACTTTTATTTGTCTTTCATTTGAAGCTGCTCACTAAAACATAAGTTACACACAGGTAGAAACATTGTTTACCACGGGATCCCCAGAACCTATCGGTGAGCCTGGCACACAGGAGGCACAGGTGACAGCTGAGTGCTGACTGTGAGACTGGTGCCCTGAGCTCCTTCCCGGGGAGCTTTCCTCACCAGGAACCTTCTCCTGTTGGGAGCCTCAGGGGCAATGGCTGTGTCGTTTGGGCCCTGTTTGTCTTTCAGAGTTCTCAGAGAAAGAGAGACTCACTCAGTGCTTTAAAATGGAACTGCCAAGTCCATTCTGAGGAGCCAGTTTTTTGGCGGGGTCCTTGTCCCTGGTGGGACTGAGGAAGACTTAGGGATGGGAGGGGCACCCAGAAGCTTGGGGGGGGTTGTGGCCCCAGGTGGCTCCAGCTCCCGTCTGCCTGCGGAGCCGGTGCAGAGGCGCTGGCCCGGAGGACGCGGGTGTCACTCCAGACAGCTCCAGAGGTGTCTCCTGGAGCCATGCCTTCCCCCAGCAGAGGGCTGAAGGAGTCTGGCTGGCTGTCTCTCCGAATCTTCCTTTCCTAACTCTTTTCTAGAAAGAAAGTAGTTTTCCTGGCTCCGCTCAGCCCGGGACTGCCCAGCCTCCTGGGCAGACAGCCCTGCTCCTGCGGCTGGGCCTCGAGAGAGCCCTGTGGAGGGTAGCTCTCTGTCTCTCCAGGGACAGGCTCTGCCTCCCGCAGAGACCAGGGGAGGGTGAACTGAACCAGCCCTTCCTTCTTTCCTTCCATCCTTCACTCCTCCATCCTTCCATCTGTATCTTCATCCTTCCAGCCTTCTTTTTCCCTCACTCCCTCTCTTCCACCTCTCTCTCCCTGTCTTCTTTCCTCACTTCTTTCCTCCCTCCCTTCCTTCCATCTCCATCCTTCCATCCATCCTGTTGTCCTTCCATCTTCTCTCACTCTCTCCATCCTCTGTCTTCACTCTCTCCCTCCTTCTCTCCCTCCTTCTCTCCCGCCCACCCATCACTTACTTCTCTGCCAGAGGTTAGGGACTGGGAGGTGAGTGAGACGCAGCCCTTTCCCCCTGAGCTGAGAGGTGACGCGGGGACTGTCCTCGGCCTGGTGCCTGGTCCTTGGTAGGCCCTGAGCAAACGGTAACTCTCGTTGTTGGTCGTCGGTCTTCCAGTTGCCGTGTGCAGGGTGGGGAACAGGTGCGTAGTGGCCAAGGGAAGGCAGCGTGCTTGCCTGGGAGACGGGTCTTTGCGCTAAACTCAGGCTCCCTACAGAGAGCCCTGGTGACAGCAGGCGCTGAGTCTCTGCTCCTCCCTGACCTGCCGTCACCCTCTGTCAGCGCCCTGGAGCCCGAGTGCGGGAGGCTGAGCCCCTGCCAGGAAGGTTCCTCCACTCTGCTCGGAGCTTCCGTGTCTCCCCTGGGGGAGCTCAGGAGGGAGGGGCCTGCCCTGGTCCCCTGTTGGGGGCCCACGTGGCCTCTCCCTTCTGGCAGACTCACAGGGAGGCTGCATGCGGGCCCACTGCGTACCAGGGTGGCCCCGAGCTGCCGGGGCCACCTCCGCTTTCTTTTTCTGTCTGTGTCCCCGTGTCTCCCTGTCCTGCTCTCCTCCCCACCCCGCTTCAAGGCCCCTGTCTCAGAGCTCTGCACGCCCTCTCTCCTCTTCCTCAGAGAGGCCTTGGGAGTGCCTCCGGCTGTAAGAGACCCCGCTCCCCCACCGCCTCGCAACACCCCATGCCCCTCCTGTCGGGGTCTCTGAACCTTTGCCCTCCCCTCTCCTCCACCTGTCTCCCCAGAGGCCCTGCAGCACCTGCGTAAGGACTCAGCTCCTGCGCCCTCCCTCCCCGGGCCCCACCCTTGACGTGCCTCTTGGCCACTCCCCGTCCCATCAGACTCTAAAGACAGTGGGGGGTTTCTGTCCCATGGCACAGCTGCTTGGCCCCGGCCTACCACAGGGCCTGGCGCACAGGAGGTGTGAGCCACTGGATGAAATGGTCTCCTAAACTCATTCGCTCCTGGGGGCTGGTGGCTGAGGATGACTGCGTGTGTGCCTTTCCTGTGTTAAAGGGGAAGCAGGGTTATTAGTTTACGGCAGGTGGAATTGCAGCCCTGAAACACGCCGGCCCCCCACCCGGCTTGGCTCATGCCATGCTTTTTGCTGTCTTTGTAATCCGGCCCCTCCCACCCCTCCTCTGATCTGCTGGTACCTGCACCAGCTGAACTGGTGGACAGTGTCTGCTGAGTGTCCCTCTCCCCAGGCCCCTCAGCGTGGGGTCCCCGTGGGAGGATGGGATGAGAGGAGGCCTCACGTCAGGGACCTGTTCCTGGTTATGACACTGTTATCTCTAAATATGAGTTATTTACTTGCACCAAAAGAGCTGTTTCTTTCGTTGAGGAAGACAGAATTACTGTGCTGGTGTTTTCCTTCCTCCCCATCCTGAGTCAAGAGCATCAGGATCATCAGATGTGGTCGCCTTTGCCCGACCTGCAGTGACCTTAGTGACATCGGACACCAAGAGCCCTTCCTCTTTAGAGTGGCTCAGAGAGGCAGACATGGCGCTAACTTGATTTCCTTTCCTGAGGTTCCGTGGGCCTCTAAACATCAGCTCCCTCTCTTTCGGCAGGAAGCTTGTTGGGCTCACCTTGCCCAGGGCAGCCGACCACCTCTGGATAAACCCCCTACTCATTCAGGAGAGCCCTTAAGAGGGCACAGCCCCCAAGGCAGCCACAGGGCTTGTGCTGTGGCCTTGAGTGATTCAGGGCACAGAAGCCCCCGTCACTGCCCGCCTGCGGATGGCAGGAGACGGTGATGTTCTGAGCAACCGTGTGAAGCGAGTGCAGGACGTGCCCGGGTGGAGCCTCCCCAGTTCTCCCTGCCATTGGAACTTACAAATTCTACGTGAACAGCCCCTGCAGAATAGTCCTCGAATTTTGCAAGCACGAGCCTAGAGATAGAATCTGAGTCTGTCCCCATCTCCTGCAACCCCCTCCCTAACGTGAGGAGTCTTGTGAGCAAAGCAAGTGTGTCTTTGCAGAGCCAGCTGGGTGCCTGGCCTGTCCCGCTCCACCCTGGGACAGGACCTGGGGGAGCAGAGCATCGAGTGTTTGTTTTCCACTCTCTGGATTTAACTGTTGCCTGATACAGGAAAAGGCAAAGGATCATCTGATTGAGGAGAGAGAGAGACTTGTAATTTCGTCCTTGTTGCACATGACTCAGATGTAAACTTTTGCTTTATGTCTCAAGGTAGGCAGGCAGAAATCTGTTTACAAACGGCAGTGTCCCTGTTACACTTGGAGAAAACACTTCCGGCATGCCGTCAGCGAACACCTTTTCGGTTGCCAGAAATCAGTCTTGGAGCTGGATGGAGTGCTGCAAGATAGTGATTTGTTGCCCAAATTTCTTGGGCTGGGGCTGCCACCGTGGGGTCTCCGAATGCATCTCTGGTTTCCCGTTTGCAGACACATCCTTGAATTCCTACTGGAATTCTGTTTCTGTAATATCAGAATGTGCAACTTCAGGTTCAGTAAAATATGACTTCTCAAGGGGAGACTTTTGCTTGCCCTAGAGATCCTTTTGTAGCATGGCAAAACAAATTAGACGCTGAGTTGCAGTGGGCCGGGAGTGGCTGGCCCGGGGATTGCACTGAGGTCGCAGGCGGGGGCTTGGCCTTGAGTCCCTGGGCCAGCGGCTCTGGAGACCCTGTGGGCGGGCACGCAGGCTTTCCCTCCAGGCTCTTATCTCACGCACTGCTTTCCTGGTGGTGGTTCGGGAGAGGGGACTTTGGTGCCACATAGTGTCCCTGAGTCTGGGTCCGTCCAGGTTCCTGGTTTGAACCCGATGAGGGTTGCCCTGGCCACTGAACAGGAGGGGCCAACTGAAATCTGGGTGGGGTTGTGGTCTGCTGTAGGGGGCTCCTTAAGTCAGGGAGAAACAAAGGACCCACGAGTACCTCCTCAGTTCCTTGTTTTTGGAATTCCCAAGAGTGAGCATCCTTATCTCCTCGTATTTCTTCTTCTGCCCCATCCGAGGCAGAGACGGTTAGAAAGCCCCTGCTCTTCTTTTTTGCAGGTGGCAAGTTCCCATTAAAAGAAGCTGAGCAAATCTGGTTTACTGCAGCAAAGGTCACATAGTTCCTATTTTTCAATTGTGTGGTGAGTCGGGGCAGTGGTGCCATTAAATATTTTTAGACTCTCAACTAACCTAGCAGATGTTACCTTGGTGAATGCTGTTTACCTGTCTTGTTGGAGTCTCTTTATTCAACATGGAGAGTTTCTAACAGGTCTTATTTTTGCAGTTCCTGCCCACCACGGCTTTAAGAATATCCTTCAGCCAGGAGGGAGCACCGTTGCTTTAAGACTCGCCTGGTAAGGAACCTCCTTTTGTAGTTCGTGGAAGTGGTGTCTGTGTGTGAGTTGGTGGGGGAGCCGGGCTGTCCTCTCTGGGTTGTAGACCCCCGTGCGAGGTGAGAGTTCTCCCAGCTGCTCTTTCCTCTGTGGACTGAGGTGGGCCATGGAGAAGATTCCGGATTCAAATGTTCCTGGGATCCAGCATGGGTCCTGGGTCTTCTGGGTGGGATGAATATGTGATGTCCAGATGTGCTCAGGAAGTCTCAGGATGGGTCATAGATGGGGCAAAGGCCTGTGTGGTGGATTTCTTTCTCTCTTGTGTGACATCCTTTGAGTCACGGTCCGCTGGCCGGCAGCTGGAATGAGAGCTGGTGAGCTGGTGGGGCTGCTGCCCAAAGCCAGGTGGCGGCTCTAAGTACCGCCCGCAGTCAGTTTCCGTGTCACTCACCAGGTGGATCAATGGCCTGGCCCAGTCTTAGAGGAAGCCTGTCCCAGAGCAGCTCTGTGTTCGTCACCTCAATCAGACTCAAGATCACAAACTCAGTGATGGAGTGTTTCCCCAGCATAGAAGCTGATAAAACCCTAGACTACAAACGAGGGGCCAGCGCTCGTATCTGAGGCTGCCCCGTACCTCCGTAAACTCACCCTCAGATCGAATTCTGACCATGGGCTTCACAGGTCACTACATAAACCAGGGAAATTGAAAGCAGAATTATGCACTCAGAAATTAATTTTATGTTGTATCGAATATATATTTTTTTATTGTGGCTTTATCTTGTTGGAAAAGTGCTTTCTTCTGATTTTGTGGATATTACTGACCGTGGATTACTTTTATTTTGGTTTTTACACAACAGTTATATTAGAAATTTGCTGTTTTATTCTTACCTTCTTAGTAAAAATCCTTTTATCACACAATGGGTAATTTATATCCATTACCAGGCCTTTCAATCCTTTTCAGTGGGGCTGTCAGCGCCGTTGGCACAGTGATGATTAATGTGATCTAATAATAGTGTGCCATTATATTACCTTAGTAAAACATGTACCAACATCCTATTCGGATCTACCAAATTCATAGCTTCCTATAATATTTTTGTTGAAAGACAGGATTACTATTTTTCAAAGCTGATTTTTTCCCCTTTAACATATTTAATGAAATTCACAACTCTTTGCCTTAGTAATCCGGGCATTTGGCTGGGCTCGGCGGGTGAGTTGGGCGTCTGTAGGCACTGCCGTGGTTCATCAGGGAAAGGATGGACGGGCCCGGGATCTGCCAGAGAGATTGCTGTGTTTCTGTGGGGCCTGGGTAGTTATGCCTTGAAGAAAAAAATTGCTGGGTTTCCAGTCCCTTCTGACACGTAATAAGGAAGGTGTGCTTAAGATCAAAAGGCAAAAGAGTGAGTAATTTGGCTCAAAGGCTCCTTTCTTCCCTCCCCTGTTTTATCCTCTCCTCTGTCACCTGCCTCGTCTTCTGGGGAAGAGGAGGAGTGGCAAAGCCAGGGGAAGCAGCTTCAAATCTCTTTCCTGGAAGTGCCCCTTCCTGCCCCACCCTTGCTCTCTCAAGCTCTGGCGTACCTCCTGGATCTGAGATGGGGTTTCTCAGCCTCGGCACTAGTGCTGTCTTGGGTTGGGTAGCTCTTTGCTGTAAGAGCATCTTGTGTCCTGTAGAATGTTTAGCAGCATCCCTGGCCTCGTCCCACCAGAGGGTGGTTGTATACCCTCTCCCCACCTTGTGACAACCAAAAATGTCTCCCAAAATTACTAAATGTCGCCTTGGGGGCATACTCGTACCATTTTGAGAACTACTGGTCTAATGTGATAGGAAATAAGAAGATTTTTGGGGGTGTGGGGAGATTCCAGTTGGAGTTCCACAGTTTTGTGATACTGCTTGGGGCGTCCTCGGCTCTGGGAGAGAGGTGATGGCTACGCTCTGCATCCTTTCCCTGGCGGAATTATAGCCCTCTTACTTCCTTCTCCCCTCCGCTCTGTCATGGAGCCTGGCCCAAGCGAGGGCCTGAATCAGCTCCTTCAACTTAAATCCCATTATAATCACGCTCATGATTGAGAACATTCCACCTTTTCAAAGGGCTTTAAAATCTGTGTCAACCAAGGATGACATTATTGTAGTGTGGGTGAGATTGTATGCAAACAATTACACACTCAAATTGAAGCGGGGAGGTTTGTCCTATCCTGGCGCCTCTGTGATGTGGCTTTCACCAGCACCTGGGCCCCCCCAGCCCCGGAAACCTCTAGCAGCAAAACACATGGGCAGAAATGGGTTTTGCCCTTGATATCACTCACCTCTGAAAGCAGCTTGAATATTTGGGCTTCTTAAGGCTAGAAGGTGGGGGAGGAAGAAGAGATTGTTGAGACAGGAGAGAGAGAGAGAGCGCCTTGTTTTTGATTCAGAACAAAGATTACTGCTGCAACATTGGCTTGAAATGTGCAATCAACTGAAATCAGGAAAAGTATTTTGAATACAAAATTTATATTGAAATACTTGAATCTTGATACGTGTGCACCCCCATACATGTATATATTTAAATCAAAGACAGAGAAGATGAGAAATAAAGCTTTTGTCATAACAATATTGCCTGTAGTATTTGCCCTCAAATGATGCTGCCACATTGGAATACATTTTTGTACCATTAGCATTTCCATAAAAGACACTCTTGTTTGTTTTTACAACTGATCCTTGAAAACAACAGATGAGGAAATGGCTCTCATTTACCTTTGTGTTAGGAGGATTTCAAATACATTGTGATGTTTGGTGCAGGAAGCCTTTTGGTGACCCACTCCTTCTTTACTGGTTTCTGGTCTGTCTCCCTGCTACACTGTAAACCTGGAGAGAGTACGGCCTTGTGTGTTTTGTTCAGTGTTATTTTCCTAATTCCTGGAATGGTCTCTGATGCATAGTAGGTTCTCAATAAAACTTTGGCAACTTGAATGATTAATAGGTGGATGGATAGATGGATGAGTAGGTGGATGGATGGGTGGATGAGTGGGTGGATAGGTGGGTGGATGGACGGATGGATTAGTGGATAAGTGGATGGATGGATGGGGGGATGGAGGGGGGATGGATGGATGGATGGGTAGATAGACAGGACTCTATCTTAAGCCCTAACAAAACCTTGGAATAGTAAACCCAGTGGTCTTAATGAAATTCCACTTTTTACCATCTCTTCACCCCCTTACCCTCTCAAACTTTTTTTTTTTACACATCAAAATGGTCAGTTATAGAAAGGCATTCTCATTATCTCTTCTTTTCAATTGCTTTTTAAAATAGCAAAAATTTGTCTAGGACTGTGCCAGGCAATCTCTGTAAGCTGAAGCCACATGGGTGCCTTGTCGTAAAAATATCTTTAAAAATCCCCAAGGGCACATACACAGATGACTGGGACTGAAGACATGGAGGCAGAGTAGGAGAAGGTGACTCCTTTCAAAGTGGGACATGGGCAAGGAATTTATGAGGCTCAGAAGACCTCCTGTCCAAATGACTGGTTGTGCGTCTCCTGGGAAAGACTCTCTAATTTATAGTGTATTTCTTGTTCTTTTAGAGGCTCTTGTGTGTCCTCTTCTGACTCACCAGGCTTGATGTCTGTGGGACTGACTGATGCTCAGCCATATGGGATCAGCCATCTTGAGGAAATAGGCTGAAGCTCTGGGAGGTGGCGCCCCCTAGTCCAGCATGGCTGGTACCTGGCGATTGGAAATCTTGTTCCCAGCAATGAAGATAAAAAGTCGCCATACCTTTGACTTTTAAATTATTGAATAATGGACACTATAGCGGTACCAGGCAGAAAATAATAAAGAAGAGAGAGATAAATGACCTCAAGACCTGGTAACCTATAGCAAAGCTACGGGCTCTGGAACCAGATTTCCTGGGCAGAACCCTGGCTTCCACTGCTCACCAGCTGTATGACCATATGTCAAGGGACAGCCTCGTTGTGCCTCAGTTTTCTCATCTGTACAGTAATGACAATATAGTAGATTACACAGGTAATCTGTGCAATTCACTGAAAATAATGCCTGGCTCAAAGTGAGCATTTAGTAAATGCATGTCACTGTTGTTATTAGTATTTTCATTTTCTCTGTTTAGTCATCTTTTCCTTTTCTCCCTCTTTATTCAAGATTAAGGAAAGTATACCCATTCACATAATTAGCCTTTTCCCCTCAGACTCATACTAGAGCTAGGAACCCCAAGACGTTGCCAGGCATGTGGTCTTCCCAGCACCCGTGGGGCCCGTGGTTAGTAAGTTCAGAGAAAGTCAGACAGGGTGGTGAGTTTCCTAAGTCAGCTTCCTCATCCCATTTTCTTTGTGAAGGAGCATTGTTGACACACCACTGGGGGTTTGGGGTTTATTTGGTGTTTAGGGAGTGCATTCCTGGGATGGGGGCCATGTGGTCATGGTGGGTGTGGACAGTCAGCTTTTAAAAGGAAGGGGAGGTCCGTGGCTTTTCTCTTCCACCCCCTTGCAAGTGAGACAGCTCTGCATCATGGCCCAATTTTATATTTTTAGCATCCACTGAAATTTAATGTTTTGCTTTTGGTTTATTATGTATGCAAGTATCTTGCTGATAAATTACATGTGTAATTGTACCATCGTAACCACTGCTAGTCAGTGACAACATATAATTAAACTCACCCTTGTAGTCATTGAACTTTTCTGTCCCTGACGAGATCATTGACCACTCCAAGGAGGGTGTGCCTCAGTGTGTGAGCCATGCAAGTGCCTGTGTGGCCTCTGCGCCCCCTCCCGGCCCATGGGACACCCCCGTGCACCCCGGGGCATGCCTGCACACATGCACTCGTGAACTTCCTTTCGACAGCGGTGTGCGGGATGGAAGGGTTGGGTTGTAGGTCCTGGGGTGCCTCTCTCTACTTTTGTGTCTATTCCCAGATGATTATTGGCCCCAGAGTGGATGTTTGGTAAAGACTTGAATGAATAAATCTTAGAAATCTCTTCATTTGCCTCTGAGCGCTCTCTTCACATATAACCCCAATACCCTTCCACTCATGT